ACCCTTAAGGAACACACGCTTTGGGTTTAAACCCCTAGCCTCCCTTAATACCAAAAGTTAGTCTCTAAAACAAGCTTGAAACTTATTAAATATGGTATGGTGCTTAATTGGTATTGTGTTTAGAACAATCTCTACATTCCATAAATATGCCAAATTAGTATATCTAGACATTTTCCATAAATAGCCAATAGGACTGAAATGAGACTAACACAAAAGGCATGATAACGAAGGTGTTTGATAAACATAGTAAATTATCATTTAGTGATATTAAAAGACTAATCTCAATATCTGGGGGGGTCTTCTCACTAGCTAGTGCAAAATACAATGAGACAAGAACTCCTTACTGGGCTAAGTATGCTTAATTAATAGCACATAAGAATTCCATCATTATACTCGTCTAATCTAAATACACTCAAAATGCCTAGTTAACTCTATTAGCACAAAAGGGAGTAATAAAGGATCCAGCAATACTAACCTCCTACCGTCGTGGCAATAAGGAAAAAATATCCAAAAGGACTAGCTGACAGGTAACTTTCGATACACACAATCACATTCGCGACAACTCGACTATCGCATTTATTCAACCTTATTACATTAAGGATAAATATTTCATTCGGACTTGTTATACTTATCATCACTCCACAATCCATATTTTTCATCCTCACTCCACTATTGTATTCACTTGTTCTCATTGTATTATTGAGGTCAGACTCCTATCCATCACCTCTACCCCCTCCTTCTAAAAAAAAGTTTGAAATATCAGAGTAAAGAGGAAAAAAATGGAAACAATTAAGAAAAATATTATGAGAGAAAAAAAGTGGATTAAAAAATATTGAAAAAGGAATTTTCAATAGCTATCAAATTGGAAATAGAAAAAGGACATAGGTTTAAAGCTTAGAAAACATGGGACTTCCTGTCATAAAATATTACACAATTAACTTGAAACTTTGGCTAAAGTGACTCAACCCTTAGAATATTAAAATATTCAACACCAGAACTGATCAAAGGCTCTAGCAAGGAAACAAAAACAAAATTCTCAACTTCATATATACATTTAACATTTAAATTAGTATGAAGAAGACAGAAAGCATTTAACTCAACACCAAACTGAGAATGAGAATCATAAGAGTCATAAATAATTGATATGACAAAAGAAAGAAATATTGTAGATAAGGAAAGAACACGAATAACATAAGAAGGGGGCTAAAGTTGATAAATAAGGAAATGTTAAGAAAGATCAAAAGGTAAAGAAAAAGGATCAAATAATAGGTTGAAGGATTGATATTTACCATATGAAATTTTTAACTTGTCTCAAAAACTATCTCTATAATAATGAAACTCATCAATTCTAGAATCCATTTGAGCTCATGAATATCATCTTTCCATAAACTCAATATTTGAACATTCTCTAAAAGTTGGATTTTGTCACTCATAACTCACAATTCAATATCACAATTACACTCCATATCAAAGGGAAATAACAGAATATTGAGAACAATATAAACTGTATAATCATGTCCCACAAACAGCAACACACTAAGGATGGGTGTAATGAAGATCAAAAGGGAGAGAACAAAGGATAAGAATAAAAACACAACCCCAAACACTGAGCAAAACATTACTAAAAAACTTTGCCCTCCAAAAACAATTGTAATATCCCTCACCTTTACCAATATGAGTGCTCTACTTATATACAAGAATGAATGGATTATATTCAATCCCAAATAGATAGTTTATAAGTACTATAATTAGCATATTATCAAGGTAGGGTATATACATACATATATATACACATACATTTATAGACATTACACAACCATATAAGATATTTAGTAATATAAAAATATTTAGTTGTAGATTAAGTTAAAAGCTGGACCAAACTAACTTATTCAATTGAACATAATGGACTCCTATATATTTTACTAACTAAAACCCTAATCAAGAATATTTTATTTAAATTGACTATAAGAGTTAATTATAAAAAAATGTGTGTCTATATTTAATTAGGTGCAAAATTTCATGAATTATGTGGTTGTGAGGAAACTTTGAAGCTTTTTTGTGTGCGCCTAATGTGAACAACTATGTTTATAGTAATTTTAATATTGCTACATTTATAAATAACTTTTCTACTTGTTTTTGGTCATAAAGTTTTTTTAATTTTTAAAATATTTTTATAGATGTTAAAAATGTTTTTTATAAATGCTAAAAAGAAATAACAGAAAAGTGAAATAAATATAAATATTTAAGAGATGTTTATTTAGTGTAATATAAACATAATCTCCAAACTGAAATGGAAAAATAAATGCCCAAACTATGTATATGCCATGCTCATCATATGAATACTGAACATTAAAAAATTACTAACATATGCCTGAAAAAAGCACCAAACACTTAAAATTGTTAAAAGGAGAAAGCAGTGATGCCCAATGATATATAATGCATTGAACTTTAAGGATTACATTGAGAAGATGAGTTGTTTGATGTGTCATGTTTTTACAAAGAATCCAACAGAAGTTTTTTTAGAGTGATTCCAGCGACATCTTACTTCCAGAGCTGCTGCTTTTTGGATAATGTAGCCGAGATCTCACAGAAAATTGCGTGCTCGAGCAATTGAGACCCACTCGACAATGAGAGCGTCAGAGCTTCGTTGCAGTCTTGTACAATTCCTGATTTTGATTTCTCCTTAGAGCCTTGTAAACCTCCGGCTCGACCCCATCAATGACAAACAAGTTAGCAAGCAAAACATAAGCACAGTTCCCTCCAAGACGGCTCCCACACTTTGGGAGCAAACTTAATATCTCACCGGCTGCTCTCGTGCCTCGCTCCACCTGCTTGTGACTCTTGCAAGCCCCAAGCAGTGAGGTCCACTCCAACACGTCCGGAACCACAGGCATTGTAAGGATGAGTTCTTCTGCCTCAGCCAAGTAGCCCGATCGAGCAAGAGCGTCGACCATGGAGCTGTAGTGGTGCTTCTCTGGAACGATCCCAAAATCCATTTGCATCGACACAAAACAGCACCGGCTCGCGTAAACTCTCCCGTGGTGGCAGCAAACCCCGAGCACGGCCGAGAAGCAGGCATCGTCCGGTCGAGCGTCCCCGACTTTCATCTCCTCGAACAGATTCAGAGCCTCGCTCGAGTGTCCTTTGATTACAAAGCTCGCCAGCATTGCTCCCCACAGCACCGTGTCCCTCTCGGGCATGCGATCAAACAGCTTCTTTGCTCGAGCGACGAACCCGCTTTGGGCATACGCGGCCAGCATCACCGTCCACGACACCAGGTCCTGCTGCGGCATCACCGTCTCGAACAAAGCTCTCGCCTGGCTCAAGTCGCCGAGCTCGCTGTACGCGGCCAGCATCACATTCCACGAGAACATATCCCTCTGGGGCATCTCGTCGAACATATGCTTGACCTCGTCGATATGCCCGCTCCGGGCATACGCGTCCTCCATAGCCGTCCAGGACACCAAGTTCTTCTCCGGCATGGAGTCAAACACCATCTTCGTCTTCGTGACATGCCCAGACACGGCATATCCGGTCAGCATGGCCGTCCAGGACACGATGTTCCGCTGTGGCATCGCGTCAAAGATGGCCTTCGCTTGCTCGACATGCCCGTTTTGAGCATACGCCGTGAGCATCGCGTTCCATGTCACAATGTCTCTTGTGTCGAGCCCGTCAAAGGCTCGCCTGGCCTTTGCCACATCCCCCGTGAGCGCGTGAAGCGAGATCAAAGTGCTCCACGAAACCACGTTGTGCTGCGGCATCCGGTGGAAGAGCTTCTTTGCTTGATCCACCAACTCATTCCTCGCGAGCGCGCCCAAGAGCTCGTTCCACGAGCCTAAGTTCCTCTCCGGCATGTCAGCGAAGGTCTTCCTGGCCTCGGCGAGGTGACCGTTCTCGACGTAGGCCGAGAGCATCGCGTTCCAGGAGATGAGGTTTCTCTGTGGCATGGAATCGAAGACTCGCTTCGCGTCCTCGAGATGGCCATTTTGCGAGTAGACCGACAGCAGCGCTGTCCAGGCGACGAGATCTCTGTGTGGCAGCTCTTGGAACATTTTCTGTGCGTCTTTGAGCCGGTTCTGGTGAGAGTAAACGACGAGGATCGCCGTGGCTGCGATGAGATCCCACTGAGGCATCTGGTTGTAGACAGCAATCGCAAGATCCAAATGCGCGTTTTGGGCATATGCTGAAAGCATTGTGTTCCACGTTATGAGATCTCTAAGAGGCATTTCATCGAATATAATCTTTGCGCCTTTCACGTTTCCGTTTTTTCCAAAAGCGTCCAAGATCGTGCTCCACGATACGAGGTTCTTCTGCGGCATACGATCAAACGCCTGCTTGGTTTTGGAAAGATGCCCATTTTGGGCATACACAACTACGAGTGCGTTCCAAGAGATGAGATCCCACTGCGGCATTGACTCGAGCATCACTTCCACCTCGTCGATCTTCCCCCTGCGAGCATAGGCCGCGAGCATCGCGTTCCACGACGAGAGCACCTTGCAGGGAAACGGCATGGAATCGAAGAAGCTCCGGGCCTCTTGGAGGCTGCCGGTGCGCGTGTAGGCGCCAAGCATGAGCTGCCATGAGAAATCGTCCCTCTCCCACGCCGCGATGCCATCGAAGACCTCCCGCGCGCGCTTGCTGCTGCCGCATCTGCCATACATCTCGATCAGCCGGTTGCGCACGAAGCACACAGCGTAGAGCTGCGGCTGCTGCTCCTGGATGACGAGATGGACGTCCTCCGCCATAGCCAGCGTCGCGCAAGCTTGGATTCGCTCGTAGCAGTCGCTCACAGTCTGGAAGAGGAAGACGATCATTTGACTGGCAATGTGTCAAAGTGAATATTGTAATTTGACTCCGCCAGCTGGCCAACCGCTAGTTAAACATTGACTAGCATTGACTAGATAACTCGGCCGCCGATAAACATTGACTAGCATTGGCTTTGACATGGCACTAGAGCTGGCTAAACATTGACTAGCTAAACATGACGAACATTGACTAGATACTCTAGAAACTGGACCGTTGACTAAATATTGACTAGCATTGACTACATACTGTGCCACCGTTGACTATAGCTGTTGCTAGATAGTGCTTTGACTCGGCCACCGTTGACTAGAACTGACTAAAGATAGAGAGCACTCGCTACAAACAATGTACAATTTCGCCGTTCTCCTCCTCTCTCGTCCTTGGTCGCGGGGAAGAAGCCAGTCTCACGCAGAGATCTCCAACTCGAGAGAGCGCGCTAAAACTGCCAATCCAGATACTCGTCCAGATCCTTGCTCGCCGCCGCCGCCGCCGCGTAGTCGAGCGCCGGGATGCTCGCCTTCATCTCCTTCTCGTACCAGCACAGATAGTTGAGCCCCACCAGGAGCTCCACGATGGCCGCCTCCGCCTTGATCTGGTCCGCGAAGAAGAGCGTCTGGAGCAGTAGCACATTCGTCCGCGACACAACCTGCTGCTCGAAGTTGTGCTCCGACTGCCACCGGATCATGTTGTGCGCCAGCGGCGCCAGCCACCCAAGAATCTCCTCCAGGCTCTCCCGCCACGCCGCCGCGGTGGAGTTTTCCAGCCGGAGCACCGCCGCCTCGCCACCGCCGCCGCCATTGCTGGGCTTGAAGCAGGCCCTCAGCCTGGTGCGGAGTCCCACCCGGACGCTCTTGGGGAGCATCCGGTAGAGATCGTCGCGCGCGTCGTTGCCAACCAGCTGCGGGAACTTGACCATCTTCTCCACGATGATTATCACGTTTGCGTAGTGGAGCGCCAGCGCCGAGCCGCCCAACGTCGATGATGGCGCCGTCTGCTGGATGAACTTCGGATCGAAGAAGAGCCGGCTGCTCGTCAGCCTCCCGTTCGGAACGTGGTGCCTCGATGGCTGCGACAGGAAGGTCCTGCTTGATCCGTTCCGGTACCCGTTGGTGGTGACGAAGGATCTCACCTCTTGTATCGCTGCCGGGTGTTCTTGAGGAGCATCGGTCGCGGGCGACGAGTTCTTGGGAGAAGGATCCATCACCGCCACCTCCGCCGAGGAAGTCCTCCGCGTCACCTCCGCCGACTGCTCCACCGGGGACGTTGCTTGCGAGGTCTCCGTCCCCGACGATGGCGACGTGGAAGCTCCCAGAGACGACCCATTGCAAGGCGACGTAGCGGAGCCATTGCACGCTTCCACGAACGTCTGTGCTTTAGCACCACCTTTGGCACCGCCACCTCCTCCACCACCACCTCCGCCACCACAAAACTGGAGAAACGATCCAGAGGAAACCGTCTGCTGCTGCTGCTGCTGCTGCTGCTGGGAAAGAACTTGCGAGTGATTCGCCGAGAGCTGCTGTGAGAACCGGCCGCATCGATCGAACCTCGCGAGCTCGCCCAGGCCGAGGAAGCCGCTGTTGCAGTTCCCGTGATCCAATGCGGCCGGGGGACCGAAGACGCTGACGATCCGGCCATGGATCGTACAGATGGTCCGGGCGAGCAGCATGACGATCTTGTCATACGTGCGGTTCCACAGCGACATGTCACGCAGGTACTTGATCTCCTGCCGCTGCCACGAGATCTTGTGCTCGAGCGCGCTGAGGTTGTCCCGCTGCTGCGACGAGGCCTCCGGATCGTCCTCGTGGATCCGCCGTACCGCCTGCTCCAGGTCCGCCAGGATCTCCAGCTCCTGGTAGAGGTTGCTGGTGCTGGCGATGTAGCGCTCCATCTTCTTCACCTTGGCCTCCATCTCCCGCGCGCTAAACTCGAGCGCGCTCACATCGATGGCCTGGCGGAGGATGTCCGCGAAGACGTGCTCGAATCCCTGCAGCGCAGCCTCCTGGCACCGCTTGCCCAGCCGCGCCACCGATCCCGCCAGCGCCACCAGGTCCTGGAGCTTCTCGCGGCACGCCAGCCCCAGCAGCGCCGCCTCGCTGTCCGAGACGAGCTTGAGCACGCCCTCCGCCCGGATCACCTCGCCGCGCAGCCGGATCATCTCCTGGTCGCTCAGCGACTGCCACAGCACGATCGATTTGGACATGACGTTGGCCACCTCGAATGCCAGGATGGAGATCTTTGCCTTGTCGCCCCGCCCACCACCGCCCCCGCCGCCGCCGCCGCGCCGCTTATCCAATTTCCCTGCCGCCGCCTTGATCGAGCTCACTTGCCCCATGACACCCGAATCCTATCCTGAGCCGCGTTCTAGTTCCTCCACTCCGCCATAGCCAGGGCTTGCTCTATCACTCCCCGCCCGCCATAGCCAGAGCTTCCACGGCGCTGAAAACCACGGATGATCCCGAGACCCCATCGCCAGTGCGCTGCCTGGATTCAATGCGGCGCTGCTGCATTGTGGATGAGAACAGGAGTTACCTCGCGAAGAACCCTAGCGCCGGGAATTCCTGGATCTGGCCGCGCGCATTCGCCATAGCCTAGTAGTCTCCTCGAATCAATGCCGCAGGGGGGAAAGCCGAGCGACCCACGAACAGCTCCTCACCTAACAATCTCCAGCCCGGGCCAGAGACTGGATTGCTGACGCTCGCTCGAGAGAATCAAGCCAGTCCATCGAGCTGCCGCTCGCCGGTCTTCCTGCTACCGCCATAGCCCCTGCTGGAGACGCGATTCAAGGGCAAGGGCGCAGAAAAGGAGAGAGGGAGAGAGGGCACGAGGAAATCAATGGGAGTGAATGCGCCCAGAGTGAATGCCAATGCCCTAAGCGCGAGAGAAGAGAGACTCTCGCTCTCTCTCTCTCTCTCTCTCTCTCTCTCTCTCACGGCGTACGCGCAAAGGCAAAGACGAGGGACGCGAGAAAGGGAGACCAACAAAACAAACAAAAAATAAAGCCTGGCGAAGGCTGGCTGGAGTTAGCTAGGATGCCACTTCAGTTGGAAAGCTATGGAGAGAAAAAAAGAGAGAAAAGAGTTTTTCCATCTCCATTCAAGGAGAGCGCATCTATCCGGGAATATGCTCTGTCTCCCCCACGGCAAGGTATATTCCGCCGGCTTAAGCGCTTTAAGAGCTCCTAGGAAATGGGAATAATTTGCGATTACATGACGACGAATCGCCTCGTCGTTTCCTGCCATTGTTTTCTTATATGGTTTTCTTTTCCTTTGATTTGATGATCCAGGAAAATTTCTTGCCGGAATAAAGAATCTCGATCGAAACTCGGGTCTTTTCCTTCCTTTTTTTCTTTGGATCGTTTCGGAGGGACTTGATGCTTGATGTTGCCATAGTTGAAAACCGTGACACAGCGGAACTCCCTCCCATAATGCAAGCTCTCTCTCTCTCTCTCTCTCTCTCTCTCGGCCTCCTTTTTTCTTGGTTCTTTAACATCGCCCATCTGTAAAGCAGCACCTACAACTGATGAGTATAATCTCAACATGGCCAACCCAAACAACCGAAAATCTCACCTGGCCTCCATGGCTTTTCGGCTCGCTCGCTTGCTTGCCACCTAACAAGCCATCGTAATCTAGCGCAGCCTGCCCCGCCTTCGTTCGAACCAACGACAAGGCCGTGTCGATTGTGTTGTGTGTCCATTCCAGAAGTGGTGGCTGCTTCCATTTAAGAAAAAAATCACACATATGCTCCTGCCACTGCTGCTGCTGCTGCTGCTGCTACTTCTCTGCATCGAATTCCAGATAAATCTTTAGAAAACAAAAATATATAAAAGAAAGAAAAACCAAAGCTTAGCTTGGCAGTAAGTGGCATTTGTCACTGTACCTTAAGTTCGTGGATTTTATTCGCCTGCTTGTTGCGGATTGTTTGGCGCTTTTGCGAGCTGCTGGCGCTCGCTCACGGTCTTTTCCTTGGAATCCGTCCATGGCCGCAGTTAAAACTTCGTGTTCTTCCCGATGGGGTTGCTGGCATGGCTGCAAGTACGCGTTCCTGTTCCTGTGTGCGAGAGGAATAAAATACAAATCGCTGCTTCAGAGTTTCGAAATATATGCTTAACTTTAGGAGACGAATCGGTACGGGTCGAGACGCGCTTTGGGAAGATTAAGAAACGCGATTATGTGCATGCTTTTCGTAAATCGCTGTATATATGCTGCAAAAAGAATTCACAGCGAGAAATTAGATGAGAGTGCTCTCCAGACAGACAATCGATTTGGTTTCGTACAGAAACTGAATCCTTGTTTTCATGGAACCTGGAAAAACAAGATCTTGCTTAGAAATGCACGCGTGACCTGGCCTCCCGGAGTTCATAATGCTCGCGATTTGTCATCATTGTCCGTAGGCTGCAAAACGAGAGAAATGTGGGATTTCGACGCGAATGCTTGATTCACACTTACGTCGCCGCCTTCCACTTTACGCTTCCGCAGATCCAATGTTTGGGACGGGTCCTTGGAACCAATGCCTCCCACTTAAAAACCAGTAACCCAATGTGAACATCGACACGCCTCCCAGTGCGACCGGAGCATAATTGAGCGTCTCTATCGTGACGGGATACGCCACCGGCAGGCAAAACAAGACGGTGCTCACCATCACCCAGCTAACAGCCAGCCAGCCAATGATGAGCGAAAATCTTCCGAGGTGGAACGGGCCCCGAACGAAGTTGCGCCTTGCGAATGTAACGCGAAGCAGTATCGGCAGACCATAGGCGATATCAAGCGAAATTGTGTTGATAGACACCGTGGCTTGAAATGCAACTTCGCTCGCCAGGTACTGAAAGCAAGCTGGAGCTTATTAAAGCAAAGCAGGAAACAGACATGGAACATACCGGTAAAGCCAGACAGAAGGCCACGACAACGCACAAGAAAACTGCGTTGCCAGGAACCTCCTTCCCGTTCAGCTTATGCCAGAAACGCGACAGAGGTAAGGCACCATCTCTAGAGAACGCATATGTCATCCTGGGAAATAAGACGAGCCTTCGTTAAGATTATGACAAACTTAGAAACGCAAACGATACCTTGAAGTTGTTGTAACACTGAGCAATCCACAGAAGTAGAGCCCTCCGCAAGGAATTATCAACAGGAGAAAACTCCATCTTGCATCGTGGAAATGGCTCTCAAAACCATTATAAAGCAGCTGCGCAATCGCGTATCCTTTGGTGTCATTGCCTGGGTCTAGCAAGTGTGGAACATCAATGCTCGTGAACACCAGGGGTAAAAGGTAAATAGTCCCCAGTAGGACGGAGCCTAGAACCGCGCCAATGATGCCATAACCACCGGTTTTGTCGGCGGTCTTTGTCTCCTCGGACTGCAAGATGGTCGTAAGTCAAGGTCGACATCTAAATGCAGAAAGACAAAGTACGTACCATGTGAGCCGCAGAGTCGTATGCCAAAAGGGTGTATTGGCTCATGAGCAATCCCAGTAAAAATGTGTATGGCTTGCTGTGAATCCCGGTGCTGCTGTCTTGGTTGAGGTTGCTGAACACTGATGATGCTTTTTGCCGAGGCAAAAGCGCCAGTAGGAAAGCTCCAATCATAACCACACCTGCAGCAGGACCTCAGAAAGGCACACGCAAATGCTAACGAAATGTTACCCAAGATGTTCCACAAAGCAGCGATGTTTCCCAGCCAAGAAAACCATCGAACATTAAGCCCGTTGATCAGTCCATGGAGCAAGAGTATTGCACCATAAATGCAGACAACCACGTACTTGGAAGCATAGTAGCCGCCTCCGTTACCCCCTCCAGTGCTTACAAGGATTGTCACTTGTAGCAACAGCGCGAGTGAGAAACAAACGCTCGCTGTTCCCGACCACTGCATTACAGTCAAATATGTTCAGAGACTTGCGCACCAATGAACGGGATCTTAGTACCAATCCAGCAATGTTGAACCTGGAATCCACCACTTCAGCGCTTCACTTAATCTTAGAAGAAACTTTCACTTACCATCCGGTCATCCATGCCATAAACGGTCCCCATTTGCGGCCTGCGAGCTTGTAACTCCAGAAGTAGAGGCCGCCCGATGTAGGATACGCTGAGCAAATCTCTGCCATGGACAGGGCAATACATATGGTGAAGAAGCACACTATAGGCCATCCATAAACGATGGACACCGGGCCTCCATATCGAAGGCCGGTGTTGTACGTCGGAGTGACTCCAGTAAGTATGGACACCACTGAGAAGCACATCGCGACATTTGCTAGAGGCCTGCAAAATCAGAAAAAGATTTTGACAATGACAGAACAGAAATTTGCACTTACGACATGGAGCGCTTGAGCTCCTGTTTGTATCCAAGCTCTTGAAGCCGCTGCTGGCCGGAGTCGATCTTCTCTTCGTCCATTGTCGCGAGAATTGATCTCGCTTCCATTTCCATCTTCAAGTCCTCGTGATGTGGTGAAGACGAGTGTCCCCCAAGGTGCTTTATAGATCGAAAAGACTTATAGTCAAGCACTGACTCGATCGATTACGAAATCTACGAAAGAAAGAGTCAAAGAGCGGCGTATGTCGTATTATCACCTGCCGTTCAGCTGCGACAGCCGTGAATATACTCAAAGCAACGGCCAAAATCAGTCCAAATTCGACAACGCTTAGCCTCTACAAAAAATCAAGTTTTTAGAGTCCTTCCGATCTACAGAAAACCAATCAATCAAAAGAAATTACCTACAGATCTGGATCTGGCGCTGCCGTCTCTACACCTGACTGAAGAAGCGAAGCAGATGTTGGGCAAATAAGTGATGGTCAACTTCTCACAGTAATAAGAAAAATATTCTCTCCCTTGCATAAAATACAGTGTTTATAGACTATTCATACGCACATTAATTCAGCGATATTCTTTCCAATTAACGTTAGAATTTCAAAAGCAAGCAACACTGTAAAAGATTACAAGCACGCGCACACTATTAGACACAAGAGGTGAACGAAAGAAACTTCAAACACTAGAAAAAAGCATCCACAGGCTCTACCTAAAAGTCATATATCTTCGCATTCAGATATCAAGCATATGGTAAACAAAACGATCTTAGTAGAAATACAACATTATTGACTCGGCGAGTACACAGCCAAAGAGCTTACCATCGATTTTTTTACCGACGAGGATCATCTCAGTGCACTTTGAGAATTCGCAGATTAAGAAATGAGATTATGTGCACGCATTTCGTAAAACGCTGTGTGCTGCAAAAAGAATTCACAGCGAGAAATTAGCTGACAGGCCTCTCCAGAGAGACAACGTATCTGCTCGATCTGGTTTCGTACAGAAACTGAATCCTTGTTCTGGAAAAACAAGATCTTGCTTAGAAATGCACGCGTGACCTATAATACTCGCGATTTGTCATCGTTGTCCGTAGGCTGCAAAATGAGAGAAATGTGAATCTTGACGCGAATGCTTGATCTACGCTTACCTCGCCGGCTACGTTTCCACAGATCCAATGTTTGGGACGGGTCCTTGGAACCAGTGCCTCCCACTTAAAAACCAGTAACCCAATGTGAACATCGACACGCCTCCCAGTGCGACTGGAGCATAATTGAGCGTCTCTATCGTGACAGGATACGCCACCGGCAGGCAAAATAATATGGTGCTCACCATCACCCAGCCAACAGCCAGCCAGCCAATGACGAGAGAAAATCTTCCGAGGTGGAGCGGCCCCGGAACGAAGTTATGCCTTGCGCCTGTAACGCGAAGCAGTATCGGCAGACCATATGCAATATCAAATGCAATTGTGGAGATAGAAAGCGTCGCTTGAAATGCAACTTCGCTTGCCAGGTACTGAAAGCAAACTGGAGCTTACTAAAGCAAAGTTGAAAGAACATACCGGTAAAGCTAGACAGAAGGCCACGACAATGCACAAGAAAACTGCGTTGCCAGGAACCTCCTTCCCGTTCAGCTTATGCCAGAACCGCGACAGAGGTAAGGCTCCATCTCTAGAGAACGCATATGTCATCCTGGGAAATAAGACGAGCGTTCGTTGAGACTATAGTAACACAAAAAGGATACCTTGAAGTTGTTGTAACACTGAGCAATCCACAGAAGTAGAGCCCTCCGCAAGGAATTATCAACAGGAGAAAACTCCATCTTGCATCGTGGAAATGGCTCTCAAAACCATTATAAAGCAGCTGCGCAATCGCGTATCCTTTGGTGTCATTGCCTGGGTCTAGTAAGTGTGGAACATCAATACTCGTGAACACCAGGGGTAAAAGGTAAATAGTTCCCAGCAACACGGAGCCTAGGACCGCACCAATGATGCCATATCCACCGGTTTTGTCGGCGGTCTTTGTCTCCTCGGACTGCAAGATGGTCATAAGTCAAGGTTGACATCTAAATGCAAAAATACAAAAGCGTATGTACCATGTGAGCCGCAGAGTCGTATGCCAGAAGAGTGTATTGGCTCATGAGCAATCCCAGTAAAAATGTGTATGGCTTGCTGTGAATCCCGGTGCTGCTGTCTTGGTTGAAGTTGCTGAACACTGATGATGCTTTTTGCCGAGGCAAAAGCGCCAGTAGGAAAGCTCCAATCATAACCACACCTGCAGTAGGACCTCAGAAACGCACACGCAAATGCTAACGAAATGTTACCCAAGATGTTCCATAAAGCAGCGATGTTTCCCAGCCAAGAAAACCATCGAACATTAAGCACGTTGATCAGTCCATGGAGCAAGAGTATTGCACCGTAAATGCAGACAACCCCGTACTTGGAAGCATAGTAGCCGCCTCCATTAGCCCCTCCAGTGCTTACAAGGATTGTCACTTGTAGCAACAGCGCAAGTGAGAAACAAACGCTCGCTGTTCCCGACCACTGCATTACACACGAATGTGTTGAGAGACTTGAGCACCAATGAACGCGATCATAGTACCAATCCAGCAATGTTGAACCTGGAATTCACACCACTTCAGCGCTTCACATAATCTTAGAGCAAACTTTCCCTTACCATCCGGTCATCCATGCCATAAACGGTCCCCATTTGCAGCCTGCGAGCTTGTAACTCCAGAAGTAGAGGCCCCCTGATGTAGGATACGCTGAACAAATTTCTGCCATGGACAGGGCAATACATGTGGTAAAGAAGCACACTATAGGCCATCCATAAACGATGGACACTGGGCCTCCATATCGAAGGCCGGTGTTGTACGTCGGAGTGACTCCAGTAAGTATGGACACCACTGAGAAGCACATCGCAACATTTGCTAGAGGCCTGCAAAACCAGCAAAGGATTTTGACCATGACCAAATACAAATCTGCACTTACGACATGGATCGCTTTAGCTCCTGTTTGTATCCAAGCTCTTGAAGCCGCTGCTGGCCGGAATCGATCTTCTCTTCGTCCATTGTCGCGAGAATTGATCTCACTTCCATCTCCATCTTTTATGTCCTCGTGATGTGGCGAAGATGAGTGTCCCGCTAGGTGCTTTATATATCGAAAACACTTGCGGTGAAGCACTGATTCGACCGATTACGCAAACTACGAAAGAAAGAGTCAAAGAGCGGTGTATGTCGTATTATCACCTGCCGCAGCCGTGAATATACTAGAAGCAACGGCCAAGCAGCAGTCCAATTTCCAAACTGCCAAAGCTCAAAGCCTGCACAAAAAATCAAGTATTTAGAATTCTTCTCACTTGAGATGTACAGAAAACATCAAAAGAAATTATCTGTAGATCTGGATCTGGCGCTACCGTCTCTACACCTGAGTGAAGAAGCAGATGTTGCGCAAATAAGTGATGGTCAACTTCTTACAGTAATATTCTCACCGAACAAATAGCGCAGAATTATTGCAAGAATGTGAATTCAAACAACGTTAAGATTTCAAAGAAAGTTAAAAGCTTGCAAGCACGCGCGTTAAAGCATAAACTATCAGAGACAAAAGGTGAACGAAGAAACTTCAAACACTAGGAAAAAAGGAAAGCATCAATCCATTTATAAGTCAAATATTTCACATCCAGATATGAAGCATATGGTAAAGAAAGCGTTCTTATTAGAAAACTCTATACACAGCGAAAGGATGCAGTAGCTTACCGACGAGGATCATATTTCTACGCACTCATAGTTTGGTACTGGTCCTCGGAACCAATGTCTTCCACTCAAAACCCAGTACGCCAAGGGGATTATTGCGAAACCTCCAAGTATAACTGGAGCATAATTCAGCGTCTCTGTTGTAACAGGATATGCCACCGGTAAGCAAAATAACACGGTAATCGTCATGATCCAGCAAACAGCTAGCCATCCAATAACGATAGAAAACTTCCCGAGATGGAGTGGCCCAGGAACAAAACTGTGCCTTGCAACTGTTACACGTAGTAGTATTGGAATCATATAAGCAACACTGATGGAAATCGTTGCAATAGACAGCGTTGCCTGGAACGCAACTGCGCTTGCCAGATACTGGAAGCAAGCCAAAGTGTTAGACGAAGAAAAGAAATGCAAACGATCATACCGGTAAACCCAACACAAATGCAATCACAATGCCTACAAGGACTGCATTGACTGGCACCTCTCTTTTGTTCAATCGATGCAAGAACCGTGAGAGAGGTAAAGCTCCGTCTCTAGAAAACGCATAACACATTCTGGAAGGAGAGAACACTTAATCACGGCATAGATAAAAATGCCTACCTCGATCCCGCAGTAACGATGAACATTCCACAAAAAAAGATAAGAACACAGGGTATCATCAGTAGAAAAGCGCTCCATCTTCCGTCGTCATAGTGGCTCTTGAATCCATCATAAAAAAGTTGCGCTATTGCATAGCCCTTCGTGTCATTATCCGGATTCAGTAAGTGTGGAGTGTCACCGCTTGTAAACACCAGAGAAACAAGGTATATAGTTCCCATTACGACGGATCCTACAACAGCTCCAACTATCCCATAACCACTAGTCTTATCTCCTGCTCCTGTCTCCTCAGACTGTAGCATTTCCAGAAAAAATCAAATGATTCCTAATAAAAAACGAACACATACCATGTGAGCAGCAGAATCGTATCCCAAAAGTGTGTACTGGCTCATTAGCAATCCCAGCAAAAATATGTATGGCTTACTGTGGATCCCAGCGCCATTTTCCTCATTAAAAGAGGTAAATACAGTTTGTGCACTTTGACGAGGCAATATCGCCAGAAGAAAAATTCCAATGACAAACACACCTGCAACACAACTCAAGCAGAGACTCAAAAAATGCAGAAGAGCTTACCCAATATGTTCAAGAAACCAACCACAGTACCGAGCCACGATAACCATCGAATGCCGAGCACGTTGATGAGTCCACAAAGTACCAGTATACCACCGTATAGGCAGACTACCACATACTTTGAGGCATAGTAACCACCTTCATTGCTTCCCCCTGTACTTACGAGAATTGTCACTTGTAGCAATAGTGCTAGGGAGAAATTAACGCTCGCTGTTCCCGACCACTACATACGCGATGAACGTCGTTAAGGAGTATCAGTGCACGATCATATTACCATTCCAGCGATGTTGAACCTGAAACATAACACGGAATAAGAGCCGATACAAAAAATTGAATTTGCTAACCATCCGGTCATCCAGGCCGTAAATGCTCCCCATCTTCGTCCTCCAAGCTTGTAGCTCCAGAAGTAGAGACCACCAGATGTAGGATAGGCGGAGCAAATTTCCGCCAGAGACAGAGCAATACACAGCGAAAAGAAGCATACGATCAGCCATCCGTAGACAATGGAAACAGGCCCTCCATATCTGAGACCAGTGTTGTACGTCGGGGTAATGCCACTAATTATAGAAATAATTGAGAAACACATGGCAACATTGCCTAGCGGCCTGCAAGAACACCAGGAATCTTAATCGCCAGAAATTCAATCCAAATGTGTACTTACGACATAGAACGCTTCAACTCCTGCTTATATCCAAGCTCTTGCAGTCGCCGCTGCCCCGAATCCATCTTCGCAGCGTCCATCTTCACAAAATTTTCTCCTCAACGTTTCACAATGAGGAAGCTGAGAGTGAATAAAAAATAAAACGTCAAGTCAAGCGCGACAAATCGCTGAATTCATCATTCCACAAATGTTGACTCACCTTCATTGGACAGCTAGGAAGCAAAGTCCAATCAAGCTTTTGAAAAATGTTGAGAAAGTTTCATACCATAACGATGTCACCAGTAATCTTTGCACGAACAGCGTCCGTCCTTAAAGTTGTGGAACCGATGAGTATCCCTCACCAAAATCTCGCGACCTCTGAGCTTGGAGATATACTTGGTGGCCGTGTGACAATCCGAGCACACTCTGAGGTTCTTGATAACTCGAAGAGGCGTTCCCGGAGGCGTACTCATGAGGCCAAACGCAATGGCCAATCGCTCGCTGTGATAAAAAAGCATGTCTTCTTTCCGCTCGTCTTCGACATCGTGCAGGATCATCTTAGTGTCAGGGATATATCCCGCGGCTCTCATCTCTGAGTTTAGAACGTCCAGCTCTGCGTATATAGGATGACGCCGTGGATGGGACCTATCTCCCTCCAAAAACTCATGCACCCTGTTGAGAATCTCGATTGATGAACGACCTGGTTCTTTTTTCACACCACGGCTACGCATCAATTTTCTCATTCTGTTGACACCGTCCCAGTCACCAGCTGCCGCATAAACGTTCGACAGAACCACGTAAGCTCCAGAATGGCTTGGATCGCGCTCAAGAACTTGCTCGGCTGCGGCTTTAGCTTGATCCGTCTTGTTGTGTGTCCGGCAGGCTCCAAGAAGTGTCATCCACAAGATGCCGTCTGGAAGACATCCCGAAAGCTTCAAGACGATATCTACTGCTTCCTGTATCCTCCCTGCCCTTCCCAAGAGGTCGACGACGCACCCATAGAGTTCTGGTGTTGGAGTAATGCTGAAATCTTGGAGCATAGCCACGAAATACTGATAACCATCTGTAACCGATCCGGAGTGACTTAATGCCGAGAGCACGCTCACGAAGCTCACTGCGTCTGCCTTCTCACCATCTAGCTGCATCTGGTTGAAAAGCTGCAGAGTCTCGTCGTAATACCCGTGTTGGGCATACGCCCCGAGCATAGAGTTCCAAACGAGTATGTCTCTCTTCGCCATCTTCTCGAAGACACTCCTTGCCTCCGCCATTTTCCCGCACTTGCCGTACATGTTGATCAGCGCCGTCTCCACGACCATCTCCATCCGAAACCCGTTCTCGATTATGTGACTGTGAATTTGCCTCCCCTTTTGCAGAGCCGCAAGGTGTGCGCAAGTATCCAGCACAGCGACAAGAGTAGCACTCGTAGGCCTGCGTCCTTCGAGCTGCATCTCCTGGAACAGCTGAAGAGCTTCCTTCCTAAAGCCATTCTGCGCGTAAGCAACACACATAACAGTCCAGGTAATGACATCCTTACTTCCCATGTCGACAAAAATCTTCCACGCTTGTCCGGGGGCCTCGCATCTCCCGTAGAGACTCATCAGAGCTGTAGCAACAACAACATCTCTATCATATCCAGCCTCTTTCACAAGCTCATGTATCACCTTCCCTTTCGCCAAGCTCGTCAAGCTGGTATACACGTTGAGCATCAACACAAACGTGATGTCGTTTGCCTTGATCCCATCCTGCTGCAAGCGCCCAAAAAGCCTCACGGCCTCGCCAAAGTTCTCGTTTTGCACGTAGAATGTGATGACTATGTTCCAAGTAACCACGTCCCTGTCCACCATATCCTCGAAAAGCCTCCGCGCGTCACCCAGGAGCCCAGCGTTGCCAAACATATTCATCGCGGAATTCATCACTCGGACGTCGGACTCCATCACTCGCGAGGAAACCAAGCTGTAGATAAACTTCCCCTCGCTCAAGTAGTGTGGATCTCCGTAAGCATTGAAGACGGTGTAGAGCGTGATCTTGTTCGGCACCACGCCGTCGAGCTGCATCCTCCGGTAGAGCCACCTCGCGAGAGCAAACTGATCGTGCTGGACACAAGCCGCGATCATGGCTGTCCATGAAACCACGTCCCTGTGCTCGAGCCTCTTGAAAGAATCCCAGGCGCCTCTAACGCTGCCACACTTGTTATACATGTTTATCAGCGCCGTCCCCACGAACACATCGCCCTCGAATCCCTGCTGGAGGATTTGCCCGTGGATCTCCATCCCATCCTTGAGCGATTCCGTGCTAGCGCAAGCGTTGAGGATCGCGACGTATGTCACCTTGGTCGGCATCACATCCTCCTCTTGCATCTGGTAGAACATCCCCAGCGCGCGATCGTAATCCCCTTGCTGGCAATAGATCCCGATCATCCTCGTCCACGCGAACACATCCTTGCGCTCCAAGATCTCGAAAACCTGCTGAGCCTCCGGCACGCTGCCGCATTGCGCATACATCTGGATCAAGTGGCCGCAGACGAGATTGTTCTGCTCGAAACCCCGATCGCATACGTGCCAGTGGACGCGCCGGCCGTGATCCACATTCTTGGCAGACGAGCAGCGCTGGAGCAGCGCCACGAAGAATGCGGTATCCGGCTTGAATCTCTTCCTCTCCCTGTCGCAGTCGCCGTCAAGAACACCGAGATCGTCCTTGATCTGAGAGAGAACCGCGAGGGGCGTCGGTTTCCTCGGCACGAGCTGGTCGCTGGCTGGAAATGCGCGTCAGGAGGAGGAGGATCCGATGGTATGGAATCGTCTTACCGGCGGCTTGGAGCTTCTGGATCTTGGATCGAGCCTGGCGCCTCCCAGGCAGCATTCTTCTACCCTAAACCTCTAATATGCGGAGTATATTCTTGCCCAATACAAGAACCCTAAAATTCAACCTTTGTAGATACTAGAGAATCTTGGATACCACGAACATCATACAAGTATCGGGATAGTCCACGATCATACTAGCATAACATCACTTTCTGGATCGAACAAATCGTACTCGTGCGGCAGGATCATCCTGGTGTCGCATCCTTGCCCTGAGCACCTTGAGATTGCTCTTGGCGTCGGTGCCAACTTCATTCAGCATTCCGTGGATGGTCGGCCCGATCACGTCGCAAACCTCGCGCGAAATGTTGAAATTGAAGGTTTTTTGGCACACGTCCTTGCGCACCTCGTCGCCATCGCCAGCCCGCTCTTACCTGTTGCGAATCACTTCTGCTACATAGCCAGTCAACGGGATCTTCCCACTAGAAAGATCAAGTTCCTGGATCTTCCGGCTCTCATCGCCGAGCACAACATCCGGAAGATTGAGACTTACTAAGCCATTTACCCGACTTGCGAATATGCGGCAGCATATCCTTGGTCTCTTTGAACCGTTATCACGAGTAAAAGCTTAACTTTCTCATCATTCCATTGTCGTCTAGTCCGGTCAGGATACCTGGCTTTCACCCAGGCGACCCGGGTTCAAATCCCGGCAATGGAAAGCATCCCAGTTTTATCTTTTTTTAGAGACCACAAGAACGCCCATTAGCCCCCCAGCGATTTCATAGTGGACGGCCTTCGAGAATCCTGCTTGCGCTGCAATTTTTTCTAGCTCCTGCCCTGAAAATCCCTTCCCAGATTTGCAAAGGTTTCTTTAGAACAAATGCAATACCTGTGTGGAAGTTCTCGATTGATTCCTTGAGGTACTCGTAGTCCTCGCGGAATCCAAACTGAGAGGCTACTGGAACGACAACATTGTCAAGCATCCAGCCCTGCACAGCGATACCATGACTGGTACTCTTAGAACAAACTGTAACAATCTTACTTGCAAGCTGCTTGTAACGGGATCGGTGCTTTTGTTGAAATCTAAGATGGATGCTAGAGCACCTGAACTTCAACGAACTCTCGATAGCCAACTCTCTTTTAGCAGCATTGTCATACCTGGCCTTAGAACACGTAAAATCTCTTCGAAAGCTCGAGGAACATCTCGAACGTTGCGAAGGCCGTATCCAACCGTGACCGCGTCGAATTGCCCTACGTTGAATGGCAAGTTTAGAGCATCGCCTAGGCACCACCTGCAAAAAGTCTACTCTTCCTGTTAAACATCAAACACTTCCCCATCCCCTTACTCAATGTTTCGTCGCCCATATGATTTCTTTTGTCGCTCCCTTGCCAAGGCTAGCTGTTCTTCAGCAAAATCGAGCCCAGTCACCTGTAAGGCCGAAAGATCATACCTTGCATCGGCTCGGACAAGAATTCCTACCTTGCCTCTGGGCCCGACTTTCTCCGCTAGAAGCATGGCCAAATCCCCACTGCCGCAGCATATATCAAGCACCGAGTCTCCAGCTTTGGCACTAGATAGATAATGAATGAATGTTAGGAATTCCCGGGGGATGAGAACTCTCGGGAGTTTTTACCCGCTCCATCCGACAGCCATCCTCTTCCAAATCCTGTGCTGCCCAAGGCTCAGCACATCATTCAGCTGGAAAAAGAAAATCCTTAAGAACTTTACTTGGAGGAGAGAGGAGAGCCACCTACATTGTCATACATTGGAGCAATGCGATTGAACAGACGTTGCCGGTGCGCCGCTTGCTCGTCATCAACGGCCGACACTGGAAATCCTCGCGCGGAAAGATTACCAATTCTGGAACCCAACGCCGGCCCCTGGAGCGCCGCCATCGACGTCGGCAGCTGCAGCGCCATCGCAGGCTACAAAGCCCTAAAATCTATCTAAAACAAAGTTATTATGTGAAAAGAAAATGCGATCTCACTTGAGAACACACCTCAGAACACTTTTATTATTTGACAATTAAATTAACACTTCATTGCTCTATGACAATCTTATGATACAAATTCCAGGAAAAGTATGAACTTCTACAAGAGAAAAGGTGGAAACAGTGATCTAGGTAGTTAGATGACATGTTAAGTGGCAAGTTAAGGAATCTTTGGGATTGAGCCAATCTTGGGAGCTTGGATTGGTTCACAAAGATCACTAGTGAAGGAAGGAAGCAAAAGTTTATCATAACAATCCAAAATTCTGGGAGATGATAGGCATTATAAACATTGTGGGCTTTAGAGGATAAAAGAAGGTATCACCCAACAACTTGGTCTTAGGAATAACCTCCTATCCTCTTTAAAAGAAGGAACACAAATTTAAATGTGTTAAAAAATGTTCTTAGAGAGAATTCCAAATTTGACCTTGGTTCCCATGTTGAATATTCTTTTAGAATACTTTTACACACTAAACTACCATTTACTACCTGAAAACCTGGAAGCTAGTAGCACGTACTTCGTCAGCTTTGGCCATCATTTACTTCTTTTTGCTATCGAAGGTAATGATAATTAATAGAGCACAAAGGGTTTCGACAAATCATGGAATCATCAAGACCGCTGGTCCTCGAGCCTTTCGGAGTGTTGCACCCAATCCTTCAAAAGCTGCCAGAATTTCTAGTGCGAAGGCTGATCCGCCGCGGTGTGGCAACGCAGCTGCGCTACTTGTATGGATTGTCCGCTGAAGAGCAGCTCCAGGGCCTTGTTAATTTCGTCCAGAGTAAGTTCTCCCTCTCATTCTAGTCGAATCAATCGATTTGCTTTGATCTTGTTTTGTAGATGCCAAGCAAATGCCCGTCATGGAAGCAGGGGGCTCTTTCCGGGACGAGATTTACGATGTTGACTTCTTCAAACTCCTGCTTGGAAAGCATCTCAAGTACAGGTAGGAAGAACCCAAGATCTGATCATACATCTCATGACAATTAGAATGCTCAAATCTGAATGCTCAGCTGCTTGCTTTACGAGGATCCTTCGTTCACGGACGAGCAAGCTGAGGAAGCCATGTTTAAGCTGTGTTGCGACAGAGCACGCATCCAGGACGGGCAGCGTATCTTGGATCTTGGAGGCGGCTATGGCGGACTGGTTATGTATATCGCGCAGAAGTTTCCTTCATGCCAGATTACTTCCATAGCCGATTCAAGAGTCCAAACGGAGCACATCCGAGAGGAATGCAGGTAACAAGCACTCTCTCATTTCTTTTCTGGTGCCAAGATCTTCCATGCTTAATTGTAGAAAAAGAGGCCTGGTAAACGTTGAGGCGATTGATTGCGACATAACAAGCACCAAAATCACACAGACTTTTGACAGGATCTTCTGCATCGGCGTTTTCGAGGTGACAATAGAATATTGAATTCAAATCTTCCATCATTGATGTTCTAACTAAGCATTGTTGAAAATTTGAGCAGCACATGATAAACTATCAAAAGTTTATGAAGATAGTGTCTGATCTTACGAGCGAAGGAGGTCTCCTCTTCGTGGAGCATGTCTGTCACAAGCTATTCGCATACCGTACGGTAAATGCTCGCAATATCCTTTCGTTTCTTTGCTAGTAACTACGTAAATCTCTCCTCCTTGTAATTTATCTCTAGACAACGGGCAACAGGATGCTGGCAGACGCATTGCCACTGTATTTCCAGGACGATTTTGTGATACTGGATCATTGGCGAGTAAATGGAACCCATCAAGGACGATCTTGGTAACCATATATTGATTCTATATAACTTCACGCTCTTGGAAACCTTGCAGTGAAGCCTGGATGAGAAATCTGGATGCCAAATTCGACCAAGTTAGCGCCTTGTTTGCAAAGGCTTATGGGGAGGACAATGCAAGCAAGAGGCTGGCAGGCTTTAGATCAAACCTCCTCCTGGGCGCGGAAATGTTCAGCTACAACAATGGACAGGAATGGTTTGTTTCGCACAAGCTCTTCCAAAAGAGAGCCTAATTTCTACGCACTTAGACATGGTTTGCAAACAATATAATTCCTATCAAGATTTTAGTGCCGAGACTCACACATGAAACCCAAGGTTGCTAACCACGGCCAAGCCAATGGGCGGACAACGCGTGGACTACATATTCCTCTCTTTACGTTCTTATTGGATGGCCCATATCTCTCTGTTGTTCCTAGGCGAGGAGGAGGAGGGTATGGCGTAACGAGGTTTGCTTCCGCCATTTACTACTGGCAGCTCCGGCGGCGCTCTCGATCGAAGTCTAAGAAAAAGGTATGCTCGATCTAGAATGGAATTCTAAAAAATCTAGAGAGTTTTGATCTAAAGCGCATTCAAGATTGATCGATCTTTGTGCACAGCAAAATGCCGAAAGGAAGGGTCTCCACCAGCGTGAATTCCCCGACCGTGGACATCGTAATTGACATGGGGAACCCATTCCTAAACAGGACTGTGGATGGATTCTTCAAGATTGGAGCTGTAAGCTTTCTAGATTGTGTGGTTGGCTTGTCCAATTTCTTCCCTTGATTTTCTTTTGCAGGTCAGTGCAGGACATGCAGCTGGCCAGGAAGCTTACAAAGTTCTCAAGAAACGTAAGTACCCCTCCAGGTGTTATTCTATTTGGTGGTATTTTTTTCTTCTCATTTTCTCTAGAGACTGTCACCAAGCATGATCTCGAGTATACGGTACGTCACATGAAAATAAATTCGCGAGTGAAAATTTACTGTGTTACTGCAGCTCAAGCGAATGGGAAAAGACGGGTTACACTGGGGTAACTTTTAAAGTTCATGACTCAATCGAAGCTATCCTTCTTTTTTTTTTTCTTTTTTTTTGTTTGTTTTTTCTGGTTTTCTCTCGGGAACGGTTTTTAGGAGCCATCGCGGGACTCTATACGGGAATGGAGTATGGAATTGAGCGAGTTCGTGGGAAGCACGACTGGGTAAGTTCCATTCGTTTTTCTAGAGCGTCACTGATAGATCGCTGACTGATCACCGACAGAAGAACGCAATGCTTGGGGGTGCCGTGACTGGAGCGCTCGTGAGCTTTGGGGAGCATCGCTACAGCCGTGACAAGATGGTCCAGAACGCCATCGCTGGGGCCGCCATCGCCACGGCCTCGGAATTCCTGCGTCATCTTACGTGAGCGAAGCTTTCGCGACCCGATTCAAGTACGCTAACATCACGGCCATGACACCAACATGTCTAGAGCAGCGCCTATTAGAATCTGGTCAGAAAAGTTGGGAAAGAACTTTCGTGAACTTGGAAGGACTTCTCACCAAATAAGAACTTATCTTTTTTTCTTTCTTTCTTTTTTCTCTTGCTTTGAGATCTCTTAGGCACTCGTGACTCGATGGATGTGGAAATGCTTGTGCCCGCGCTCAATCTAGAGGGACCACCTTTGGTTTCTTAATCTTTCTAATTTTCTTCGTTGCTCTCAGAGCTTGCCTAGATTGGCCATGAAGATTTTCTGGTGAAGTCTCTGACATAGCCAGAGATTAGATAGCTAGGCAGAGTTCTGATCTCACGTCGCTTTCTCGCTAAATATCGTCACATTGTTGAAAAACCATGGCGTTTTCCACAATCGCGGAGGTATAGCTCAGTGGTAGAGCAATTGACTGCAGATCAATGGGTCTCTGGTTCGAATCCGGATATCTCCTCTCATTTCCTAACTTTTTTAATCTAACAAGGACGAGCTCTACTTTATTTCTTTTCTCAATGCATGTTGCGCGCATTGAATTCGCCGGCTCTCCATCGATCTCAATCTTGTCCGGTCAAGAGCGAGAGAGCGGAAAATGGAGGAAGTTTCAGGAATGGATGGACGGATCATCCTTTCTTCATGAATTCATCGTAGGCTCCACTGGCTCAAACTCTTTGATCGATGGATCCAAGAGATTGCGCCATTTAAACCAAGAGTGTAACAGTGAAAGGAGTTGTTTTGTCCCCGATTGACCGCGACCAGCCACCCGACTTGACAATGTCTTGGAGTGTTTGTTCCTCCGGCTCGAGAAAACAAATGGCGAAAGTTCTACAATACGATTTCCGGCATTGACAATCGGTGAAGTACGGATGCTCGTTCTTTCGTTCCAGTTTCGTCCCAGTTTCAGATCGGTTTTTTCATCTAGAAAAAAAAAAAAAAAAAAAACTTTTGGTTGACCCCCTGATGTGTACACGCCAAGGCATTTTTGCGTGTGCGGTAGCAACGACAAGGTACAAACGGCAGAGAAACTGTGGGCCTGGAGAGAAAATTAAATGGATTAAAACAAACTTGGAAAGATCCTCCTCCGCGATAAGCTCGACAAGTGTGTAGACTTACGACCCAATTCCGTCCCCGGATCGAATTTCCAAGAGGTTGGAAGAAGCCGCCAATTTGGCGTTCTCCGTTTTTAAATTTGAAAACAGGATATTCCACGGCATTTAGGGCTCGCAGGGACAGCTGGGACCGCGGTTTTTTCCTTGGAGTAGAGCGCTGGTGGCCCAATACTGTCGCTAAAAGCCCCACTTTTGCACGTCCTCACAGAGGAAAGTGAAAAGGAGAGAACCACGTACAGTAAACACACTCTCCAGCACCAAAGATCGACATGTCGAGGCTCGGAAGCCCCGCCATGCCACCTTTTGAGCCCTCCGAGCAATCAAACCGGGAAAAAAACACAAGCGAGACGAGAGCCCCAATAATCTGGACGAGATCGATTGAGCGCCCCATTGTCGGGAAAAGAGGCAGAAGGTTTCAAACCGATACGTAGGATCAATGCACGTAGACGTAGACAATGTACATACGGTTTTACCACTTTTGATCTTTTGTTGGAAAGAATGGGACCTTCTACTGACTAGTAGAGTGTGGGATCACACACACCACCCACCGAATTGCCGTGTCCAAGGATCCCACCAAGATCCCAAGTTGCCGCCGCTATACTGAGAGGGAAGGATCGAGCACCCTGGAACACACTGACACAAGAAGAACAGAGTACCAACTTGGTCATCTTCCTAGGTGCTCAAGGTGTCTAGGCATGCAAATGCCACAATTGGGCATTCTAGTACGTATGTCATGAATAGTAGGCAAAACTTAACTAATGTTGTTTTTTTCCTTGTTGCTTTGTGGGATTTGTGCGTTGGTTTAGAAGTAAAATGATTTGGCAATGGTGGTGGAGGATCGAGAAGTTGTCGGGCTCGCGCGCTCAAGCGTTGGGCTGATTGCCAAAAACAAAAGGTGGTGGATCGCGGTGAAGTGTGGCCTCGACATCCACATCCGACACAACGTTTCAAGCACCAACATGGACCATCTCACTATATATCCTTGCGACCGTTTGGGACAAGTTCCATCAGAACAAAAGAATGAGAGGAATTTTTACAGTTATACACTTTTGCATTTCTGCTATCTTTCTCATGGTTATAATTTTCATCTTTTCGCTCCTCACTGTTGCTTAAAAGGCCACACACAACACGGGGACCCCTAATTGTGTTTGGAGTTGTCTTGTGACTGATCGCTTAAACAACGCTATATAACATCGCAGCTAGCGGTTTTGTTCTCCCTAGGAATCCATCAACACTGTTCTAGAACGATAGGAGGGAGCGAAGAACTCGCAGATATTTCTATCATGTGTCGCCAGCAGAGATCAAGGCTTGCGGTTCTTCTTCTTGTGCTTCTTCTTGTGCTGCTGCCGCCACTCCCGGTGGAATCGTCCGCGCACCGGAGGCTCCTCCAAAAGGATTTGGAGTTTGATTTGCGACGCTTTCTCCAGTCGCTCATGGTGGAGAGCAAGAGGCATGGCGGGCTGCTCGTAGCGGAGCTCCATCGCGTGCCAAGCAGCCCGAATCCAATACAGAACGAGTGAGTATCCTCTCTCTCTCTCTCTTTTTTTCCTCCCTGAGCATTTATGTCTCGCAAATTCTTCCGCGCGAGAGAAAACAGAGCACCATCACATTTATTGATTCCTTCTCTTGCAGATTCACGGACGAAGTCCACCATTGAGAATTCGGCAATTCTCCGCATCAAATTGGCCCGCTCGCTCGCTCGATCCAATCCAAGAGATCGATTTCGGTAGTCGCCAAATCGTGAACGCAGCGAGTAATTCCGAGGCTTCTAGTTACATATACTCTCTCGCCCCTCGTGACACTCCGCGAGCGCAAGCTTACAAACATCCCAATCAATCGATCAAGAGCACGAGAAACTTGGTCAGGAACAGCGGAGAGTCCTTCAAAGTTACAAGGAATAGTTTAGAGAAATCGCTTGTCTTTTCTTGTGTGTTTTTGTGGATTCCATCGCTCTGAATGAGGAGAAACCCAAGCCCATCTATCATCTAATTCGCAAGTTTTCTCGCTCGATCATATCCCTTTTTCCAAAGTCACCAACTAGCAACGCAACTTGCCTTACACATTTATACTATTATTTCCCACAGACCTTCTCTCACTTGATCGATCATTCACAAAAGTTTGATGAGTTTCTTCCTCCTCTCTCTCTCGCCATTTAGTTAGAATCTCCTGGCGGATCCAAATTCATGCATGCGCAACAAGAACATTTAAAATCGGGAGCGTGGTAGAGGAGTACGTATACCCAGTGTCACAACGAGGTATAGATATAGGTATGCCAAGACATTGAATTTTAGAGTGTGGTTGGGCAACCATAGCCTGGAAAAGATGAAACAGGCCAAGACCGTGCATCTATCTCTGTGAAGCTAGATTGCCATCTATTCGATCCAGAACTCCTTTTCTTTTACGAGCTTGTTTCTTCCTCCTCTTTTTTGTTCTTGGGCATTTCAGATCCAGTGAAGCCTAGCGAGAATTTAAGGCCGTGTGTTGTTCCGGTCAGTGTACCAACATTCTTGCAGTGCGATCGAGATTTCATGATGGAAACTGTGCAAACACAAGTTAAAGATCGATTCTGGAAACTTTAGATAGCTAAGCGTTTAGCTTTTGAGTTAGAGCTTTAAGATCATGCCAAGCTGATGTATATAGAATTGACCAGCTGATTGACAAGGAAAAGAATCGCATGTATGGCCCGTGAACCCGGCCCATTCTTTGGATTTGTTTTGCAAGATTGTCAAAGCAAGCGAGCCACGCGGCCACATCTAGGCATCACGACACGGAGCTGGAGCCAAGCGTTGAATCGAAAAGGGAATATTGGAGCTTGGATGGAGCAAGCAAAGCGAGGGCGCAAAATAGTCAGTCGGGTCACCTAACGGGCAAAGAATACCGTACAAAATACTTGTTTTCTCGCAGAGCCTTGCATGATTTGGAGAGAACTTTAGCGCTGTAAGTGGACAAGCAAGGAAAGTCGTTAGCTTTAGCGCTTGCTGCACGCCACCTTCGATCGGTGAGCTCTTTTGGCTTCCCGCGCTCTTTAAAAATTTAAATGTCAAAGTACACATCGGTCATAGCCACGAGGTTTTTTAGGGTTCTTGATTGCTGGCGGGTATGAATGGCAACTGGTGAGTTCCTGGCATTGCTTTTTTCTAATGGCAACTAGTTCCTGGCATGTTTTTTCACTTCCTAGCATAGTTTATGACCTGGGCTCTGGAGTGTGAAGCTTCTTTTCTCTTTTTTATTTTCGGCAGGCATCTGATTGTTTTGTCGATGCACGGAACAATGGGACAAAATGGTGCCTCCGGATCATCACAGCCTGATCAACCGCGAAAAATAATTCACGTCCACAGCAACACACTGCGGCATACTAGTCTCCTCAAGCTCATAAATTTGCTGCGCCGCGGCTGACACTGGTGAGTGATTCCGGGGGATTGTTTGAATGATTGGAAATGGCCACGGCCCCACAAACCTGTGCCCAAATCACTCGCTTGGTTCCTTTGCGTCCCTTGAAAAAAAAATTTCCCTCATGCTTGCAAGACCATCTTATTTTTCTAACTTGTTTTTTTGCTTTGTTTTTCTTTTGTTTTTGCTCCATCTTTGCTTTTAACTTGTTTTTGCTTTGCAGGCACAGTCACACCACTGACAAGTTCCATTCAACGTTTTTCCAAATCTCTCTCGGAACGGAGATGTTGCCTCTGCGAGCAAATGTGATGAAGGCTTTCGTGCTCAGTGCGTACTGGCGAGTGTTGCTGCCATGGCGACGTAGAGCTTGGCCTGTAAGTCCTCTCTCTTTCCTAGTTTCCTGCGTTGCTGCTGACTGGTCTTGGTCTCTCGGTCGTGCTCCAGCAGTAGTTTTCGCTTTGTCTTTTCTAAAAAACTCTGGGCTTCGAAAGTGTTGGTAGCTCCTGTTTCGATTTATTGCCATGGCCAGCTAGCTCCAACTTGACAGTAGAATTTTTTCATCTGAGCGTATGAAAGCTTTGCGTTCCTTGCAGTGCCCGTTAATGGAAAGGTAATTGGTGAAGAGCAGAGCTGCGCGACGTGTCTAAGTTGTTTTAGCCTTCCATGTTTCGAGTTCTTGCTGTTTTTGTCACAAAATTCAAGCTCGCAGGCAGGCAGTCTGGCTGGATTTAAGAGAATGATGGCGGTATGAGTCAAGTGGCAACACAGGTACCCTGGCAAAGCTCTCACCGGTGTTGGGACTCTGATATGAAACGAGTGTGCGTTTGTGCTGTGTCAGGTTTGGAATATACATTATGTGTTCCTGGATGGGCCGAGAGTACATTCTCCCCATGCAAATCCCCAGAGTTCTTGTCAAGACACTGGCTTCGTGTTATTGCTCGCTACGTGACCAAACACACGTATTTTGGGGCGCTTGTTACCACAGGGAGGTGATTGATGTACAAGGACGGGTATGTTCTTTTCTATCTATTTTCTCGTTTTTTTCTTTCTTCTTTTTCTTTTTCTTTTGCCCTTTCGTTTTGGTTTTTCTTTCTCTTTTCTCTCTCTTTTCTCTCCAAGTGCATGTACTAACAGAGGCGTCCATGGAATTTTGCAGGGACGTTCTTTCTCCATGAGTCAGGCTTTTGTTTAAATGGGAGGAAGGCGACTGAGGGGCCTTGGAAAAAGGTAATCTGTCGAGGCACAGCTTAAATACAAGGTACGTATGCGTTGCTGGATATGGTGCGCCAGAGAGATCTTTTGGCTCACAGGATTCGTTCGTTCGGGCGGATCCTGACCTTTTTTCCAGTCGCAGTGAAAGAAAAAGCAAAACTCTATACGCTCTCATAGGCCGAAAGTTTTCCTTTCTCGAAACTAGCACGTTTTTTTTCTCCTGATGGTTCTTGCAGGTAGATATACTAGTACCAATGCCAATGTAGAAGATTTCATCAGGTACTCGGCACCACTTGAATTGCCGTGCTGAAGCAACGAGAGACTATCCGTTCGTGGTAACATGGTAAGTACCTCCAATGCATCTGAGCATTGATTGTCTTCCTTGTTTTCTAACTCTAGAGCTCGTTTTTCTTCTAACAGGTGCTGTTTTCCTGTGCTCGTGGAACCAAGTCCAGATTCAAGCAAATGCAAATGCGCACCGGCGAGACATAACATTAAACAAGGAGGAGCGTTTCGTTGCGCGGCCTTGGACAGTTTTTTAACTCACACGACACAGGCAAGCCAGCCACAGTTGTGTGAATTGATCCCATCGCAGACATTCCTCCTCCGACGTTGCGAACGTGGTGGTAAGTAACTCCAAAGTCTCCAAGTATTTCTTCTTTTGTTCTTCTTCCACATTTCATTAATTCCGTGTCATGCGCAGCTGCTAAGGAATCTGAGAGAGGGGGGTATTTATATTGTTTCTTCTCCGGGTCTCGGGAATCAAGCTAAAGGTAAAGAACAGTCCGGCTCTTCCAGATCTCCAGAGACTCCGCTCAGTCAAATTTATGATTTGGAGAGCGAGCAAAGATGATTTTCTCGATTGTGGAAGGTGATCCAGCTAGCCAGCCAGCTAAACGAGACGAGACGAGACGAGACGCGACGAGGATATCAGGCAAGTTTTACCAGCGATGATACGAGAAGATGATCGTTGAGCTGAGGAACGCCAGGCACAATACTATTTGGCTTGGCTTCCAAGGATTGGTTTCACATGAATTTATTCCCAGGCGCCATTAAATGCTCTTGAATGCATGTGCCAACAATGAATGAGGCAAGAGGGTGAGGTCTATCAAATCGGACATAAATGTTTGATGGTTCGTTCGTTCGCTCGCTTACGAATGGATAGAAAGTAAAAAAAAAATCAAGGGAAAAACTGATTTTGTATGTAAAAACGGATCATTTTCGCGATCAAGGTTTCCGAGGCCATGATCATCAAGTGGTGCTTCAAACATAGGAACGTGATGAAAGTGATCTCTGCTGCTGCGAAGGTCGAAAATGTCTGAGGAAGAACATGTCAAACGTCTATAATTTTGCTTGCTCCAGCCATTCATGGCTCATGAGCATTGCAGTCTACATATAGTTGTTTAGAGCGGAGGCGATGGTTCCATGCACGACGACGAGCCACATTTCAACGCGATGGAGGCATGTTTCGTCGTCAAAGTTTCGCTCCGCGTTGAATGGACTCTTTCAAACTTAAAGATTATGGAAAGGGATTGGATTGGCACTATGCTTCTTGGTGGGCAAGACCTCACTAAACAACATATAATTCAGTGACTGAATGTTATTGTGGATGCAAAGATTCGAGCATCTGGAGAACACGTTTAATAGCGTTTCTCAAGTTCCCAGTGCGAGAACTTCAGTTCCAGATCTCTTCTTCCACTAGCTGGAAGTGTAAGATAAAGATTCCTCGGGAATTTTAAACCAGCCATTAGCAGCACCTATCTGGAATCTCACTTAAGCTGACACTCGTCAATCTCTCCTTGGAAAGGAAGATCAAACGCGGAGAATACAGTTGTATTTTACTGAAGAAATAAGAATATGAAACGCTCGAATTGAATCTTAAGAACAAACAGGCATCTTCGCAGCCTTTAATGCGCGGGTGTTGAAATAGCATGACACAAAGGAAGAGAAAAAAAAAAAGAAAAAAAAAAAAAGAGAACCAAGGGGAAGAACACAACTACGTAACAGTGTTCACATCATATGATATCTTTGTAAGTGTGTAGTATAAGACATGTGCTTGTGCGTGAAAGTCTTTTTTTTCCCAAGGTGGGTTCTTGAGAGCGAGAGTTTGGAGTTTCATTTCGAGTATGATCGGCGTGCGAGGAGCTGGGATCCTCCAAAAAAGCAATTTTTAACATGAATGATTGGATCCTGCTCGTCAAGGGGCGAGCAGAATGATTCCCGGCTTGCACCAAGGGCCATGAAAATCGTCCGGGACGAAGAGGATCGAGAGATCAGAGTGAGCGAGAGGAAGAGAGAGAGAGGGAGAGACCAAGGATAAGCTTAGTTTTTCGGGTTCCACTAACTGCTGCTGGGAATCTCAGGGGTCACACACTATGAAAGGATTCTCTTTTCAAGTATAAAGGGCACCGATTCGTCCATGCGTGCTCTCCCGCTCTCGCTCTCTCTCTCTCTCTCTCTCACACACACACACACATACACGCTCCCATCTTGATCTTGCTTGTGACAATTGGCGATCTTTCTAGCTTCCATAAGCCGCAAATCTGTGCAAGCGCTCGAGAGGGACTCCGTGAAGATTGAAGCTGGGAAGACAATGCCTGTCTAGAGAAGGAGGAAGAAGGATAAAGAAAGAAGAAAGAGCAGAGGAGCTTAGCGATATATAAAGTTTCTTTCCAGCGCGCATTCTTTCCGGGCCGATTGATTGATTGATCCTCGAATTTTGCTGACACCGCCGATCGAGAGAGGGCTTTTTGTCCGAGATTTCATGTCAATCCGTGTCCCATCGGCAAGCCGTGGACACGGGGAGGAGCATGACAGGCTTCTTCATCTGCTTCATCAGGTGGTGCATGGCTATGGCGGTCGTCTTTGCTCTCGCGGCAGATCTTTGCGAGCTCAAGGCCAGCGCGAGGAAGACAATGCACGATCGCCACCACCAGCACCACCATTCATCCACAGAAACGACGACCCTTCACGTCCCCGCTTCCTCCTCCTCTAGCTTCTCTCGTTCACAACACCAGCATCACCACCACCACCATCGCCACCACCAACAATCTCCGCGAATGGACCAACAAGACAAGCTTGGCACTAGCGATGATTCAAGAGTGTTTGGCTACGCCGCTCACAGCCCTCCATCGCAAGGGACGCTGCTGAGCGATCCATTGCCTTCTCCTCGAGCTCCACCATTCTATCCGGGATCATCCACCTCGGATGCTTCCTTCTACACCTCCGAGCACCTCGTTCCCAGCGGCCCGGATCCTCTCCACAACTAAAAATCCTCCAGGAAATCTTGAAGCTCTTCTGCTGCTCGATCGATACAGAAGCTAGGTACGAGCGAGCGAGGATCACAAACAACTTCGTTCCAGCCAGGGCCAAAAGATACGTATATATGATCTTAGAACTTCGAGGGAGTTTTTTCTTTTTTTGTGTCCTTCTTCCAAGGCTCTTCTAACAACGAGCAAGCACACCACCGAGCAGTGACCAGCACCAGCACCACTACTCACACAGAGATCGAAAAGCCCTCCTCGGCCTTTTTGTGGCTTTTTGGATTTTGATTGACTGGACTGATTGATTGGTTTGATTCAATCATCATCATCGCCAACAACAAAGGAAGAGCTTTAGTTCTTCATCAAAGTATTGGGGCTTTTCACAAAAAATTTCTCGAGTCCAGCAACAGGTTGATTGATCGTAGAAGTTTGTATCTGCCCAATACTTCGATGAAGAGGATAAAAATCTCTGCCTCATGGCTTACGAGCGCAAGTTCTTCGTTGGCTGTGTGGTTCCTCCAGCCAGTTCTTTCTTGACAACAGGGAGGAACCAAAAAAAATTTTGTTCTTGGGGAACTTCGATCATAACTTATGAATCAAACGAAACCATTCCAAGGTGTAAGTGCTGTGTGTCTCCACGACTTGTGTTTCTCCCTCCCTGGATCAATCAATGCTCTCACGGAGTCAAGGCAGACCAAAAACGAGAGAAGAAGTTCTCGCATAATTGTCAGCTCGATCGTGCATCCACCACGAAGAACTGTTGACTTTCGTAAGACAAGAACAGGAAAAGAAAAGAGCTCTTTGTTTTTTTTTTCTATGTGTGTGTGTGTATGTGTGTGTTCTTCTTGGAACAAGCTTCTTCTCACTGTTGTAGATCTCCATCCATCCTCGCAAAGTCAACTTACATTTGGTGGCGCTGTCGCTAGAAAAAATGGCTTGCTGATGATGCAAGAACCAAAGAAAAATGTATAGAAGGGAGTAGGCCTAGGCCTAGCTATAGCCCTTGTGCTTTCTTTTGATATCTTTTTTTCTTTTCTCTTCTCTACTCTTTCCAAAACCCTAATCAGGGCGCCAGTCTCCCCAGATGAGATCACTGCGGCATCACGGCGGCGCCTCCGATTCCAGGCAGCCGAGCCACGGCGATCGATCCATGGAGTGGAACCCCGCATTCTTCCATAGCGCGCGCCGGGGTCGAGCAGAAATCCGGGAAATCCAAGAAGGTGAGGGTTAATCTAGCGCCTCTCCTCGCCGCGATCAAGGCATGTAGCGAAGCAAGGGATGTGGAGAAAGGGAGAAGGATTCACAGGGAGATTGGGGAGGAGATCAGGGATAATGTCTACGTGACGAGCAGCTTGGTCAGCATGTACGCGCGGTGTGGGAGCTTGGTGGAGGCGCGCAGAGTTTTCGATGGGATGGGGTATAGCCGCAGTGTGGTGGCCTGGACAGCACTGATCATGGGGCATGTAGAAAGCGGCCATGGCAGAGTGGCTCTCGAGCTTTTCGATCGTATGCAACTGGAAGGCTGCTCGCCAAACGCACGGACCTTCGTCGCCGCGATCAAGGCTTGCGCAAGGCTGGCAGAAGAAGAAGAAGTTGGCGATGGAAAGGCGAGATCTTTACGCAAAGGAGCTGCCATCCACTCGCTTTTATCAGCGTGTGGCCTCGACTCGGATGTTTTCCTCGCAAGTTGCCTGGTGGAGATGTACGCGAAGTGTGGGAGGATGACGAGCGCAAGGCTGGTTTTCGACGCCGCGCCATGCCGCGACGTTGTTCTCTGGACTTGTCTCATGCTGGGTTACGCTGACAATGCGGAGGAGGATCTAGCTCTGGATTGCCTTGGACGGATGGAAGCACAGGGCTGTCCACCAAATGCGTGGACGTTTGCTGTGGCATTGAAGGCCTGCATTGGGCTGGCGGGGAGAGAGCAAGGCACGCAAGTTGATGGGAAGATCTTTAAGGTGGGGTCTCTCCGGAAAGGAATGGACGTTCACTCCCGGGCCGCTGCCAGTGGATGTGACGAGGAAAAGTTCGTGGCAAGCAGCTTGGTGGCCATGTACGCAAAGTGTGGCAGCATGGTCGACGCCGGAAAGGTGTTTGACAGGATGAGGCAGCGTGACGTTGTCTCTTGGAACTCTCTCATAGGTGGATACGCGGAGAACGGGCAGGGGAAGCTGGCTTTGGAAGCTCTCGAGAGAATGGAGCTCGAGTGCTGCTCGCCGGACACCGGAACTTACGTCGCTGCGTTGAAGGCCAGCGGGAGTGTTGTTGCCGTGGAAGCTGGGAGGCGGATCCACGCTCAAGTTTGCAGGAGAGGTCTTGAGCGAGACCGAGCACTGGCGACTTCTCTGGTGGATTTTTACGGGAAGTGTGGGAGCATGCTCGAGGCTCACCAGGCGTTCGATTCACTCGCACCCAGGGATGCTGTAGCACTCACTGCTTTGCTCGCTGGATACAGTCGGGAAGGGGATGTGAGGAGCGTGCTGGAACTTTTCAGCGGGATGACCGCCGAAGGTCTCCGAGCCGATGGGATCACTCTCGTCTGCGTCCTGGCTCTGTGCAGCCATGCCGGCCTTGCGGATAAGGGGAAGGAGTTTTTCGAGGCCATGAGCTCCAAGTATGGCGTCACTCCGATGCTCGAGCACTATCACTGTATGGTGGACATTCTCGGCCGCTCCAATCAACTGGATGCCGCGATTTCCTTGGTGAAGTCGACGCCGGCGGACTCGAGCTCGTTGGCTTGGCTGACGGTCCTAGGAGCATGCACGAAGTGGCGAGACGAGTCCGGGGGAAGGGTCGCGTTTGGCTCGTTGAAGAACTTGGGTGAAATGGACGCGGCAGCTTGCGTGTTGATGGAAAGCATTTACAAGGCCTCGAGAAGATGAAACGAGCGTATCAAAGTGGAGTTTCGTTCTTCATTTTCGCTACCAGCTCGTCGATTTTCATGAACTGCCGCGACCAGCTCGAGTCGTACAAAAACTGGCGCTGATCGAAACGATTGTCGTCGGGAGAGTAGCTCTGCGATCCATCCAGCGATGTTAGAACTCAAGAAAGATCAAAGCAAGATTACCTCCGCGTGGTAACTTGGTGTTAGAGTCGTCATCTTGTGCCTGTTGATGGAATAGTAGCGGAAAAAATCCTTCACCTTGTTCGCAACTTGCTTATGGTGGAGTCCATTCCACTCTTGGCACAATCTCTGTACAAAGCGAGTGATGTGAGCAAGAAAGAAAAGTTAAAAACTCTACCTGGAACATTGCGACGGGCCCAAGCCTGTCGACTTTTCGCAGACGAGAAAAACTGTTGAGTTCATCGTAAGTCATCCCCATGTCCTCTTCGTCCGTCTAGCGATTCGAGACACAGCGTTAGAGAGAGAAGCTTATGAAAGTTTCTAGGCCAAGTACCTGTTTGTATCCATCGCTGCTCGGTTCCAGCTCCGCCGTTGGCGGAGCAGCTTCCACTTGAGCAAGAACAGGGAAGCCAAGTTTTTGTGCTCCCCAGCGAAGGAATGCTCGCAAGTCTCTTTTGCTAATACCACCTATGGGATTTATATCCGCGGAGCTGCAGTCATACTAAACGAGAAACCATAAGAGGAGAAAAGAAAGCATTGCAGCTCTACCTTGGTCATGTATCCTCGGATGCTTTCATCGGCATTAGAACTGCCGAGCACGAGAAGGAATCCTTTCTTTCTTCCGACCCATGGAAGCAACGAGGCTAGCATGTATGATATCACCATCCGGACTCTGGCTTGCAGATTTTGTAGTGCTAGATTCTCGACTGGAGTACCAGAGTCCACCTGAAGGCACGGAAGACAAGTGGTGTTGGCGACAGAAGAAAAGAACACGAAAAGAAAGGTTTTGAGACCTTGTACCGAGGAATTCTTCCAGTCAAGCCACAAAAGAGAGAGATGAGCGCGTTCACGACTATATCGATCTTCAAGTTCCAGTGGTTGGAGCCGATCTCTCTAGCTAGCTGCTGTGCCCTGCTTTGCGTATCTGTAGAGCTACACAAGGAATAGAATCGTCAAAGATACATGTCGCAAAACGGCTTACCTGTTTTGTGAAGCCATGTACACTGTGTAGAAGATCCTGCTAGCAAACTCTTGAGAATCGGCTGGTTCTTCACCGGGTTTATAGTTTCCTATCCTCCTCGCATCAGTCAAGACTCGTTTATCGTTTTCGTGAATAGCTGCAAAGACAAACGTTGCTTAGAATGTGGATGAGAATGGAGATTAACCTTTGATAACAAGCTGACACATGGAGCCAACTATTGCAGCCACTGCCGAGCTATCAGCACCACCAGAGAGTGGGAGCAAGTAACCTGAGGCTCCACTGCGACGCAAGTAATCCCAAAGCCAGCACGCTGGCCCCAGCGCTATTTCCTGTTCTGGTAGAAATCGAGTTGCCTGTTTTCTAAAACTCACGAGACTGGAACATATCATTGATGGTCAAACCTTACCTTCAATGGCCGACTAATTCGCAAAGATCGACTAGAGCTTAACTCGCAGAGAGATGCAGCTACGTTGACACAAGCCATAGAACGCCGCTCACTCGCCTGCTCGCGGAAGCTGCTTTTAGAAGCCCTGAAGTTGACGACCTGCAAGCAAGAAGCGATCACGCAAAGAAGCAAAAAAGAATAACACTCACCTCGTCTAGATCAAGGCACACTGTGCACACATCAACATCATGCAGCGAGAACTGGCGTCCTTGGAGGATCACTTCTCCGTTCATCACAACGCTGGCACATCCATCTGCAAAAAATAAATCCAGTGACGGTGCTTGCGAGCGTCCACTTACCATAGTAAAGCCGCCCGCCATCGCAGCCTTGCTGGTTTGCGTACAAGTAGACACCACCACATCTCTCGGTTACGTTTTTCATGAGCCGGAGCCTTGTACGCTGCTTTCGAAGCTGGTGGTGGCTGCCACTTCCATTGGAAATAATTTGCACGCCATGGAGTGCCAGGCCGCTGCTGGCTTGCTTAGGAGTGAAGAGCTCCTCGCAGCATTCGGACGCAAGATCCCTGGAGAGAGAGAGAGAAGCAAGCTTAGAAAACACTGCAATTTTTTTAATTTTTTTTCACGTACGTGTCCTGGAACGAGAGGTAGGCGTCTCCAAATGGCACTGTTCTTTGCGACTTGATGGCTTGCACACACTCCGGGAGATTCAAAGATGTCACCACCTTGTGCCGCTTCCACGACGAGAACCATCGCAGCTCGCGATAGTTTCCATCGTTGGCCATAAACTTCTTTGGACGAACGAGAAGAATCTCCCCATCGAGGCAAAACACCCGGCAATTGTAAAGCACACCTTCGTGTAGCACGGGAAGGCCGATATCACACACGATCCCATCCGTGAGGCCGGAAGAAAGGATCTCCGCCAGGCACTCCCATCTGCGCAAAGCGAGAGTCGATCGATCCCCAGCCCTAGAAATCGATCGAAGCACTTACGCGGTAATGCAGGTCTCTCGCTCCAGGAAGTGATCCTCGCAGCCATATCCAGTGAGCTCCAGCTCGGGGCCGACGCGGAAGGCGGCGCCGCTCTCCCTAGCGACGGCGATGGACTGCTTGATGTTGCTCAGGTTGTGATCGAAGCTCATCGCCCATTGATTCAAGCTAGACACTGCGAGAT